CAGAGAAGTTAAAGGATTTGCTAGAAGTTATCAACTAAGTGAAAAGTAGAGTTGACTTGAACCTGGCTCTTTGGACTCCAAACCATTTTAAAGAAAACAACTTTCTTGTGAAAGAATACTATGTGTCATGTTGTTGTCTGGCTTCAGTTTTATCTACAGCACCTAGCATAGTATTGGGGATATAACAGGAGCTCATGAAATATTTACAGATTGAATGAACGAACACGTTACAGGGCTACTAACTGTTAAATAAGTTTTTGGTTTAAGTTTAAAATCTCTTGTCAGGTAGACACAAACAAAACAAAATGAACTTTAACTTTCATTGATTTAGCAACACAGAAGATGTTTACCCACTTTCTGTTACGTTGCAGGTTTGTGCTGAGCGCGGGGCCTGTAGTGGTGAATTAATGAGTGGTGCTCACTACCCTCGTGGTGCTTACGATCTAGCAGCCAAGGCTCTCTCTAACCTGTGAAGCCGTCCAACCAGATCACTTTAGCTGTTTTGACAATTCACAAAAATCACTATTTTTGGATCAATCACTTGGTCACCTGAGCAATCAGTAAAACCTATAAAAATGATAGCTATGATAAAATCTGCAATTTCAAACTTCCAGGCTAATGTTTTGAATTGAATTCTCATATACAATTTCTATTCTGGCAGTCATTGCATGGGGATAGTGTTCAATATTTCTTAAAGTTGTTTTCATGTTATTTCCTCTTAAATAAATCCAGGGAATAGTAACCTCAAACAAAAAAAGAGTAGGCTAGTGGTTTTACCCAAGGTCACACCTCTCAGCAATGACAGAACTGAGACCAGAGTTCTTGTTTTCTAATTCCCAGTGCAAGGCTTTTGATACTATAACCCAGTTTCTCTCACAGGAATGTACCTTTGCTTCTCAATTTAGGTGCCGTTTCTAAACGACTGGTGGTCCAAAAATAACAAGGTAGATGTCCTATGACCGTACAATCCTAGCAGGAAACCAGGCAGCCTTAGGACTCTGTAATGCCATCTACCTATTTTTAGTTGAAGGAAACTTTTTCTACTCTGACAGCCTGCCATGATTATAGAATTGTAAAGAGAGAACTCTTCAAATAGTCAAGACTTCACTTGTGGCACATAGGCCAATAAGAAACATCTTAACCGTATTCATAATTGCTGCTTGATCCTAATTGCCAACATATGAAATTAGGTAAAATCTTGTGACAATGGCACTTCAAAAAATGAAGAGTAGAGTATTCTATTATCTTTAGTGAGGAAAAGATCTAAATACAGAGACAAGAGACTTGTCATTAAATCTAAGCTTCACAATTTACTAGCTGTGTGATGTATGCTGTCTCGATTCATGCAAGAGTGGAGGAAATTGTCAAAATACATATATTGCCGCCATTTTTTATAAGGAGGCAATACAGTAAGATTACTTTGAATAGGCTTCTTTAGAGTTCTTTCAACCATCTCTATGTAGTTACACTTTATGGGAATCAAGAGTTAGTGACAATGAAATTTCAAAGTATACAGGACCATACAGAAGTTTTATAACAGAGAGTAAAAATGTACTTTTCTCCACATAGGTGTTTCCAAGGTCGTGAACTAAAAACTACTCCTATTTGGAACCATTGTAAAAATTTAAACTGTTTTCTATATCTGACTCTTTTAATCTTCCAATTGTGTCACACTTTATTGAACAGAGGTAGGAGAGGGTAGAAGTTATATTTACTTTGCTATTTAAATGAAATAATCAGCCTGGTGTGGGTATTAAAAAACGTGTAGTGGGACTCAGTGTTGTGTGTTTAAGTTTAGGATCTCGCTCTATAAAACTTGGAAAACGGGTTATGTCATCTCTAATGTCCTTTTCAAATATGACACAGCATTTTATCTACACATGAGATAAACCTTGCATTTTGTTAATCACACGTAAAAAGTAATTTCCCAGCCAGCTTGTATGCCCAACACTCCATCCCTGTCTCCTAGGGCATCTAATTTTATTTGCTTTGGAAATGATGCTTACTACTATGTGCAGACACTTGTGTATTCATACACACTCATGAACACAAAGACATACCTAGACCCACTAAGTCAAATAACCTTTATTCATATATTCCTAATGTTATAAGAAATATTTTGTGGTGTTACCTACTGTTTTAATATTCTCCTTTCCAAAGCTCTCTTCCAGTGCAGTGGCTATTTACAGGCTGAATGTAGTTACTTTGCTAGGACTTGGGATCTGTCCTGGCAACACTCATTGAAGGAGTGTTCTGAGCAAAGAAAAAGAATTGGTTACCCTCTAATGGCTCAGATCAAAGATATAGATGCAATAATCAACCTTAGGCCTGAATGGGCTTGAAGAGACCACTCGGCACTCTCTCCTCTTTTAGGAGGGTGGAACGCTTCTAATCTACTTTATGTATGGAGGCTTATAGAGGATGAATGACATACTCAAAGTCCTGATCTAATTAGGGTAGAATGGAGACGTCTTTCTCTTCATTATGCCCTTTCCCTCCCTTCCTCTCACCTTGCTTCCTTCTCCCTTTCCTTCCTCCCTTCTTTCCTTTTTATCACTACTTTAATTTTTACCTTCAACCTGTTTGGAAGTTGCCATGATAAGACTACAAAAAAACCATTAAGGCAACACAAACAGAAGCATAGGTGCTGCGTTTCCCAATAAGCAGCTTGAAGCCACGCACTTAATGAAAACAGTCAAGTCAGAAGGCAATAGAAGAGGCGACAGGATAGGAAGCATGCAGAGACACACAGTCTCATGGAGCTGGCTGGGTGACCTTTGCAAATTACTGCTTAAGGTAATCTACACCGGGCAGACACATATCTGTAATTACCACACTCAGCCAGGGCTCAACTTTTTTTTTTTCAATGCATATTCAGGAGTCAGTTTTGTTTGTTTGTTTTCTTTTGTTGAAACTTGTAACGAAATCCTAAAGCAACAGAAGGATGGAATTATGGTATAAGGATCTATAAATAGAAATCACACAGATCATTCCTTTAATCACAACAAGGTGATGCTGAATCTGATATGACTATTAGTGACTGTTTGGAGGCTAAAATGGATCCCAAATTCATTCTATATGGGGCAAAACAAAATAAAACAAAACCTGAGAGGCTGTTTTAAGAGGTTTCCCTCATACTCTTCAAAACTTTTTTTCCTATCATTTTCTTATCTTTATCCAAATCCTCTTCCTTTTCTTTCTCCTCCTCACATACCCTGTGTTTGGGCCTTTAAAGGTTATAGAAGGTAAACAGCAGCCATTCCTACTCTTTAATAAATGAGGGAGACTAATCAATTTATCCCAATCCTCAGCACGGAGCGCTGTGTTTGACACTACAGCATCTCTTGAGTTTTCCTGTTTTACAGCGGGGTATTCAAACCTTGATTAGATTTTAGGAATGAAAGAGGAAACATTTAAAAGGAATCCACACCCAAATCTGTTGGGAGTGCTTCCAGCAATCTTGTAGGCAATGTACACAGAGGAAGGGGCCCAATCTGGGTCAGGGCAAGAGGTTTTCTTTTATCTTCCTTTTCACCTTAGTTTAGAAGCGTCTGTTCTCCTGTCTTGAGGCATTTCCTCAATAACAGCCTTTCTCTAAAGCTGGTAACACCTTACATATTCATCCTTTTTGACACGTTCATTCATTCCACAGATATTTATTGAGGTTGAGCTCTGTGCCAAGGCACAGGGCATACAATGATAAATTCAGCTGACTCCCTGTCCTGGGAAAAGCTTCAGTCAAGGGCTATAGAGACCACTGGAGTCAGGAGAGAGAAAGGAAAGAAAGAGTGCCCTAGAAGGGTCTTTGTCTTGTTTATCTCGGCTCGACAGGAGAGGGTCTGCGTGACAGCACGATCAACTCAGAGCATTGTTCATTTGCTTGTTTTAACCTACTTTTCTCTCTTCCTTGACCACAAATGCAATCCTAGGATCAGAAATGACAAATTGTGTCCCTGCATCCAGCCTGTGGATGTTTTTTCCCAGCACAGAAGATGCAATGTCAAAATCCAGATTTCTAGCTTTATCTGAAATGTTTCCAGTTCTACAATCCTACAAAACAACATTTGACTGAATTCGGAGTGATGACTGTCTCTTTTAGGTGTGGAACTCACTCTCCCGTCCTTCACAGTTCTGTCTTCCAAGACAGATGGATTGCCATTTTTCATCATATTTTAGCTGTCCTTTCTTTCACCTTGTCTGTCTGGTTCATTTATGTTACTTGCCTGGCCTGGTAAGCATAAGAGTTCGTGACGCGTATGATGCTAAAGAGGCGCTCATTAAACCATTTTCCTACCTTTAGCACAATGACTCTTTCTTACTAGTAGTCCATTGCATATCCAATCACATAGTAACACACATGCATCACTAAAATAAAGCTACAACTGTAGTCTAATCATCTCTCAGTACACAAGGTTCCATAGTATAATGGAACGAAATGTATTGTAAGTAGTTAGAAACACCTGTTTTGTTCTGTCAAAACTCTCCTAGAAAACATGCCAGTGCTGAATAAGGATTTGTCAACCACATCCATTATGGAAGGAAACCTCTCTTCTTTCTCTACAGGAACCTCTCTACATTTTTTCATGTGGTGAATTCATTTTGTCATGGGGTGAACACCTGTGTGACTATTTAAAAACCACAACACCAGGTGTGTGAATATGAATGTCTTTCTCCTTTGTGCAATGCTCTTCTTACTGATTTCTCAGCAGGCTGGCTCAGGAAAAAACCTTCAAGCTGAATGAGGAAAAAGGTCTTAAAGGATTTTTAAAAATATATCTAGTACAACTGTATGCACTGAAAATATTCCAGCCAAATTATACAAGCAAGTCTTAGCTTTATAAGATTCTTTTGTTTTTACTATCATGCAAAAATTTTTAGTATCTCTGGATATGCAGTTATCAGTAAGGGAGGGAATTTTGGAAGACCTAGTAAACCCTAAAAATTTGGAAGATTATTATAAAATATTCCAGGATAGGAAACAAAAAAAAAGATTTATTTACCTTTTGCTCTGCTTCAGGCTCTCCGCTCGTCTTTTCCAGGAGATAGCTGCCCTAGGAAAAGCAATTGGTTTGCATTCGATAGCAATATCCCCACCAACTTGAACAACTGAATTTTTTTTAATGGGATTTTTGGAGAAATCAGGAGCTGAGGCTAAAAACAAAAAATTGTTAAAATTGTTAAGTTACTCACATAATTAACATGTACTAACCCAAGAGGTATCTTAGTATTGATAGACAGATAGATAGAATCTAATATTTGTATCTAGAACTCTTTTTCAAGCTACTTGGCTCAACGTGTTCTGGGGTCAGTTACCGACTTGGCATTTTGGACTCTCTGTTTTCATTTGTAAAATGAAGATGCCAATAGATATAAGCTCAGAAAGCTAGGGTGGGGATTAAATGAGATTACAGCTGTAAAGAACTATAGTATAGTGCCTGGCACAAAGGATGTGCTCAATAAAAATGAAATTTACTTTTGTTTTGGTGCCAATCATTGCAATACCAAAAGCAAGTTGGAGTGGGAGAGGAAGCATGTTAGAAAAAGTCACATTCTTAATAGCATTTAGAATAAAAGGGGTGAAGATGGTTCCGCAAGAGACAGAAGAGGAAATTTTAACCTTGATTAGGGAAATCTATTCCAGCCAAGAGAATGATCCTAAATGCGTGTGTGGGTGTGGGTGTGTGTGCAAAAAACAATGAAATAACACTGAAATAAATCAGAAAGCCTATGTCACTATGTCAGATTTCCTCAGGCGAGCCTTTAACTAAAAATGCAGTCTGCCTTCTGTAGAAGCAGGCAGGCTGAGTAGAAATTAGAAAAATAAAGTCTTTGTCAGTTTCAATTTTGTCCCTACTAAATAAATGTTGAACAAATACCAGTTCATGAGAGTGGAAAATTCCTAGACAGCCTTGGTGCATTCAAGACTTCCAACTTCATGGATGTGGGGACCCAGGTGTCCAAACCCCATTCCTAGTCTAAAGTCCAACTGAACTGAAGGTCTTTCAGATATGTCGTGATCTCTTGCTTTTGGGCATTTCAAATGTTGCTTCTCTGCCCTTCTGCTGGCCTCTGCATACTTTCTTTTCTGATCTCAGCTTAAAGATAATGTCCTCAATATAGGTTAGGTTCAAATTGCCCTGAGGTCCGATAACACCTACTCAATTCTTGACCATAATAATGACAATATTTAAAAATTTGCCTTTTTTTTCTCAGTGAAACTATAGGTTCTAAGAAGGTAAAGATCACTTTAGTATTGATAACTATATTTTTGGTGGTTAATATACAATACATGTTAAAAAAAATAGTAGTGATTGAAAGAAGGAACAAACAAACCAGTGTCCATAACCTAAAAACTCATAAAACTTTGTCTCTTTTTATTTGATCCTTCCTCTCTTCCATCTCCTTCTTTCTTCCTACTACTAAAAAAGCCTTGAGATGAAGGCTATCAATAAGTCATTTATTGTCACAGACACCACTGGTTGGCTGTCCCAAAATATCATTCGCAAACTGCTGCTATCTCAACATTTTCCACCATAGGGACTCACTTTCCAAGCTTCCCTGGAGGTCTAGGTCATGTGGCAGAGTTCTAGTCAATGACATAAAAGGAGTTTGCTCCAAGGACTCAGGGAAATTGTGCTTTTCTAATGAGAATGATAGATATGGTCAGTTCCATCCCCTCCCTCTTCTTCTGCCTTGAGTATGGACTTGATTTCTGTAGGTACAGCAGCCATCCTGAAACCATGAGGCTACAAGTGTGAAGGGAATGTTTAAAGAAGAACATCATCACATTGAAGTGCCACAGCTCAGCCATCATCCCTGAACTTCTCATTAAAAGATGAAATAATTCCCTGTTTGTTAAGTCAGTGTAAACTGACATTTTCGTTCCTTAGTCTTTTATTTGCAGCTGAAAGCATTTCTAATGGACGCTTTTTGAATTGTATTCAAAACCTCATGCTGGGATCAGCTTTGGAGAAGCCTATTCTGGTTTGGATGCACTCCATGGTGGGCTCCCCTGGAAGCCCTAATGTATTGCCCACGCAGAATGATAATTATCACCTTGTAATTTTTCAAAGTTAATTTAAAAATGCCCCATTATTCCAAGGGAAAGCAATTTCTAATTTACAGAAAAATTACTAAAACGTCACCTGGAATTTTTTGGTTATAAACGAGTGACTTACCCAATACTCTCAATTCTGCATTTGCATAAATTATCTGATATTTGTTTTCTGCGGCGCATTGGTAGACACCAGAATCTGACAGATTCAGCATAGTTATGATAAGTGTTCCATTTTCTATTTGAATTCTTTCCTAATAAAAGAAAAGCCATGTAACGATGCTAGTATGTTAATGCAGGTATTCTCTTAACCAGAACACATTATTAAACATTTGTGCATATCTATGAGATACGGTATTTTGGTGAATGAGAACTGATGCTTACAAAGATGAGCTTAATGCACTGCAAGATCCTGAGCAGCTTTCTGAAGTTTAAAAAAAATTGGAAATATGCTTAGTATAATTTTAGTGATTAGTATATGTTATGTTATCTCATTTCTTTGAAAATTGGCATTCTCTGCATAGAATGTGTTAACTTTCCATTAGATAGTACATAAAATAATTTGGAACACTCTACCATTTGAATTATTCCAGAAACCATGATTGACAGCAATATTAGACAGGGATATCATGATTAGAATATTTCCTTGGCTTTCCTTAATAAAGTCTCAAAAAGACTTGAAATGTGATGACTTGATAATTTTCTAATTGAGTCACTAGTTGGAGGAGCTAAATTCTTCTTTCCTGCAGCTTACTATAAAGTCTGCTTAAACAGCCAAAATCTGTTACAGAGTCCCATTTGGGGTATAGAAATACAATTCTGACTGCAATGACGAAATAGTTTAATAGTGCAAATATAACTTAAAAGTAAATATTTCAAGGTACCTATCACCATCCTCTAAAGATAATGCAAGTAGGCTGGAGGAAACAGAAAAAGTTATATGCAAAAGGCATGCAGGGAGAAAATCCCACTAAAGCTGAAACAAAGAACATCATTATATTCAGCTTCTAAACAACAGATGTTTTTTGTGGCTCTGGCTGTGCCTCCATGGAGAATTAACACAATTATTTGGATAATTTGATGGAAAGAAGAAACAACTCTGCCTCATTTTCTGTATAGTGTAGAAGAAAGTATGCTTTAGATTGAAAATGTGAGTAACTGCCTCAGTTCTCCACTTTCTTATGAGTTTAGAGACAATCAGTAGTTTTCATGAAGCAAAATACTGGGTAATTATTAAGAGCTTGGGTCCTGGAATCAGACAGATTAAATTTAGAATACTAATTCTAACATTTACTAGCTGCTGTGTGACCTTGGACAATGACTTACCTTTTTTGAAACCAATTTTCTTCATCTACATAATGAAATAATAATTGTATCACTCTCATAAGGTTGTCATGAGGATATTACAAAATAATGCATGGAAAATATTTAACACGGGCCTGTCTCATATGATAGTTCAAACGATGTTAACTATGATGTTGATGATGTTGATGACCTGAATGTAAATCCATCACTGACTAGTGTGTAACCTTTTGTAAGTTATTTGTCTTTTCTACTATTAGTTTTCTCACTTGAAAAATGAGGATAATATTGATAGCTACTTTGAGTTTGCTTGAGAATTAAATAAATTACTATATATATAAAGAGTATACTACATTTCCTGACACTCACTAAACACTCCATAAACATTGTTACTGTCAGTAACACAATTTCCCTAGCAGAGTATGTGAGTTTTTGATACCAACATAGTTGCTTACCTCTGGACTGAGGCGCTCCCCATTCTTTAACCACGTGTACCAAGGGTTTGGCTTTCCTCTAGCTTTGCATTCCCAAAGCAAGCTGTCATAGATAGACAGGTATGTATTTTGAATTTTTTGTTCCCATTCTGGAAGGGCTGTTTCAAAAAGAGACAAGAGCAACTACTTGGCAAGTCAATTATGCAAGATGTGAAACTATTCCAAGGACTGTAGAAATCAGAAGGAAAGGCTAATGGGTCCAGTAGTACTACATACACATGATTTGAGGGAATGGAAATGCAGGAGCTTCAGTGTGGGGCAACAGAAATCCTGTCACAGACATCAGTGGACCTTTGGCAGAAAATGAATGTTTGTCATTTGTCATTTTGCTGCACCAACATAACAACTTGGGAACTGTGGGAAAAAGTCCAAATGCACGACAAGGCCAGAGAATAATTCCATGCTAAATATTAGTACATAGGTCAAGTTGGAAAATGTATACCAAATCTGAACACCTTGTGGGCAAAAGCCCATTGATTATATTTGATCTGAACTAACTAAAAGTAAGTGTATGCAAATCAGACATAATTACAACTCAATAGCTTGAAACATAAGTCAAATATGAGCCTCATTACATTTTAGTAGGATGATAATCCATTTTTTTCCCTAGACAAAACTCTTGCCTGGGAATGAGAACTTTTGGAATTGTATATAGGTTCAGCACTTAACTTTAATCCTGGGCATGTGTTTTCCAAAATCTTATTTTCTAATCTGAGAAAGTTCTACAGTGAGGCTAAAAGCAACATTTGATGTTAAATTGTCATTTAGACGTAAGGCAGTAATATCCTTACTGTCATTCATGGAAACAGATGGAGTGTAAATTAGATGCTTTAAAGTTAATATTTCTTCCATAAAGATGATGGGAAACTGCCTGGATGTGCCATTTAATTTCCCTCCTTTATTTGGGTCTGTCCTCAGATATATGAGAGTGGATGAATCTTCCTTTGGAATCTCAAACTATTATAAGCTACATGGTTTACATGTGTAATTGGACTTAATTCTCCCTCCAACATTTTATAGAGTATTTTGGCAGAGACGTTAGGTAACTTGCACAAGAGGACATAGTTAGGAAATAGAGAAGCCAAAATTTGAACCCTGAAAGCAGAGCCTAGGTCAAGGGCTTGCGTTCAGGTTATTTGTTTGGGAATACTAGCCCAAAGGTAAGCAGTCAGGGAAAGTAATGGTCAACAGGGAAGGAAAAAGTCAATGCAACGATGACTCATTGAGTTGGCCACCAACATGGGTCATTGTTACTCCATCCTTTGTGGAATTCTAGAGAGTCTTTATGAACTCTTTACCCAGGGAAAGGAAGAGGAAGCATTTATTCATTCAAGGATAGTGCAGGGGTTAAGTATTAGCACATCTAGGTTGTTTGGGCTTGAGTACTGAGTAGTCTCTTGAATAGGCCAAAGAAAATTAGAGCAGGAAAGAAGATCGACTTAGTGCGGCACTTGAGACGAGACTGTGTCAGGTTACACGTATAAAACATAGTGCTGAGCTGGTCACTATGGCAGGGGTTGGAGTAAGAAGTGAGAACCTACAGTCTTTGAAATGGTGTACAAATATGTCTGACTTCCAGGGTTTTTCTACTGCAACATCTGCTTCCACTAAGACAGAAGAAGGAATTATGATATCTCAGTGTGGTGAAAACTAAGCCTATGAATACCTCCTGTGGAAATCAGGGCAACTTTCAGTTACAAAATATGCTTCTCATAGCCTTGAGGGATAAATCAGACCAAGACTTGGAAGAACTGGGTGTATTGATGAAATTGAATCACGTTCTATACATTATTAACACATTTTATAATTTGTAGATAATTGTTAGAAATTGTCCTAATATATGTTTGACCGGGGAGAAAAATTGCATGCTTAGGTAAAATTCACATGGCTTACAAAAGTTTAAGATACATCTGATTTGTTGCTTAATACAATTATCATAACTTTTAAACATATTTATTTATGTAATGTGCACATTTTTTGTACGCTTTGGACTCTAAAAAGAAAAAATTTAAACCTGCAACTACATAGACAATACCTGAAAGAAAGAGTCTAGGATTTCAGGTCTACCATATAGGCTTGGGTTCTGGATTTTTTTTTCTCTATTGACTGTGGAAAGTCACTTAACTCCTCTGAATGTGTTTTATTTTCTATAATGATAATGATACTTTAGAGATTTCTTTTGGAGGCTATAAAGACACAATATAGAGGGACAGGGTTCTGAATTATAATTTAAACATAGCAATACAATGAAACTGAGAGATTCCTTTCTTGAAATTTTCAGATACTATTCAATTCTCAGGTTGTTGAATCAATTATTTGTGCCTTTGGGAGCACATTGTCAAGTAAATTAATAGGTGGTCAAGACGCATAATAATTGTCTTATTGACCAATTATCCATCATTCCCCACAAGGCCCATTTGGACTCCTTAAATGGCTGATGTCATTGCTGTGAGACATCATGTGAATGGACTTAGATCACCATGTTGAAGAACTACTATAGGTGGAAAGAGTCTAGTTTTAGAAGATTGTTCAAGGTTTTATCTCAGATTTGAAAAACATCAATAATCTTGCTCAATTCATCTAAGGTTTCTTACCTATATTATCACTGAAAATTATTTCTACATCTTACTATAAAAATTCTATGAATTAATATTTGTAAAAACTTTGATGTATTCTAAGAGTTGCTGTGTCAATGCAGGAGAAAGTACTTGTTATTGGTTTCCAGTTCATAGATATCTCCATTTTCTGGTTAATCTCTTGGTTATATCTTTGTCAATTTAATAGAAAAATGAAGTATATATTAAAAACCAGCCAAAGCCTTTAATATCTTCATGCCACTAGAAAACTCCCAGTTACATCCTCACTATTTTATTTATAAAAGATGACGGATTCCAAAGACTTTCCTTAAAAAGCAGGAGCTATTGGAAAAATAAGTATATAAATAAAAATATAGGTGTGTGTATATGTGTGTGTATATATATAGAGAGAGAGAGATTAGCATTGCTACAACTCTAGGGGAATAATCGGCAGGAAATCACATTCTATATATAAAATACTAGTTTTTATTCCAGGTTAAAATTGGAAATTCTAAAGGAAATGGAAAATAATATAACCAAGGCACATTATGTTCTCCTACAGGACACTCAATTAGAATTCCTACAAGGTAATTACAATACCTCAGATTCTTCTAGTTAATAAAATATATATATTTTTTCTTCAATTACTTTTCCATTGATTGTAAACATGCCACATAGAAAAGCATTTTTGGCCATGTATAAACACAGATTTAAAAAGTTCTCTAGTGCCGATATATTAAATTTAGCCAAGTTAAGAATATTTTAAAAAGATCAAATACTTTGGTGATTCTGGGGTATATTTTATGGTTATTTGATATTAAAAAAAGAAGCAAATTTCATGCAAGTGTGTATTTTGGCCTGGATGAAAGAAGACATAAGGACAACTTTTAGATAATATTATATGCTTTCATTGTCTCTCTTAAGTCTATGAGAGATTCTGGTAATTAAGGCAAACATTTTTTAAATGAAGTAATGACTTTATTTTTCTATCACTTACATATGAGTAGACAAAATCTTGGAAAATAGAAACAAATACTGAAAACTACCATTTGGCGTTATGTTTCTCCTGTCATTTTCTCTTTCTTTGTAAATTCTACTTAGATCTGTAATAAAAATGGTCATAGGCTATTGTGGAATGTTTTATGGGAAATATATTGGATTCCATGCTACTTTGTGTTATAAACTTTTATAGCTTTAACATGACATAGCTGATATTTTCAAGGCAATTATAATATACAATAGCATGCATAGACCATGCTGAAATTAAAGCCATATTTTGAAAATGGTCATTGCCACTTGCTAATTGTTTTAGTAAGCATTCTAACTTGGAAATGTGCCTTTCCTATTTCTCCCAGGACACTTTTCCACCATATGCAAATGACTTTTGCTATTCACTATGAAGAATATTACCAAATATTTCACATAGTTTTTGAGATTCTATTAGCTTACCGTAGAAAATGAGTTGACCCTTTGCAAGGTTTCTTCCTCGAAGGTTGCCTGCAATGCATTCGTAGAAGCCTTCATCTTCCTGTTGAAAGTTCGGGATTTCAAGGATAGCCTGGGATTTGCTGTACTTGACTTTCCCTGGCAACGGGCTTCCATCCAACCTCCTCCAACTAATATCGGGGACTGGACTAAACAGTTATACCTCATTAGAATAGAAGGTGATTTAGTCTTCATGTCAGCAGGATAAAATAAGAGTGTCCTTAAAAACGACTCTCAAGAAAAAAAACATTCAATCAATTTATAATATCTTGACTAGTTTTCAGATCATGCAATCCTTCACCATTCACTCATCAAGCAATTTATAACACTTTTTAAGTGCCTGCCATGTGCAAGTCATGGTGCTATGCACAGGGAATAAACTGGTGAATAAAATAGACACCCTCTTTGCCCTCATGTTGCTTACAGACTGGTGGAGAAACATACAACAAAAAAATAATAAAAAATAAATACACTTGTAAATAGCAGAAATTGAAACAAAGGAAATAGACTTCAGTGATGGTAACAAGATCATATCAGTTTAAATATGGTGGACCTGAGGACCATATAGGACCTAACATTTAAGAGTAGGCAAGCTCTCTCTATATTTATAGATTCCAAGACAAAAATTCAGGTTCCTCTATAGCTAAATTGGTACTAATAAGTAACTGAAGACTTATGTGGTGGGTGAACTAGAGTATCAAGGGGGATTAGTACTATAAAACAGATCACATGAATTGGGAGTATAGGCTCTATGATACTCAGAAGAATGGTACTCATTTATACCTTTTATAAAAAATAATAGTAATATAAAAAATAACTTTACATTGTACCTTGTCTCCATTAGAATCTGTCAAGAAATCCTTTGTTTATAAAAATTTAGCTTAATATCTAATACCTCTAGTCTAATACGAACATCTTTTAAAATAGCAAAAATAAACTTTATGATTATGAATCTAAGTCTCTAACAATAGAGGATGAATTTAGAAGTTCATGGTGTAGAAGGCCTCACTTTCACAGGTATAATGTAAACAAGTGCAGACTATAAATAAAGTCACAACAGGAAAATGTTCCCTAATAAACTAATTCTTGTAAAAATCAACTCCTAATCTATTTACATTAACATCTTTCCTTTCCTACTGTCAAGTCATTCTTCATTCCATTATAGATTTTCAGATGATTTAAATGTTTCTATTCCAAATATATTTCAAATAATGATTATAGTAGTAAATCACTTTGAACAGTCAAAGTGTAAACTTTGTAGAAGATGCAGGATTTCTTCAAGTCACAAAAGTCATGTGGGAGACACATGCCAAGTGATTGACAAAGACCTGCAGAGTTTGAATGATAAACAACTACAGAGAAACCAGGTGATGATGACCCAGTAGAGGCTTCAAATAAGGCAAGAAAACTGAGGAAGCCCCAGGAATTTTTTATTAGCAAACAATTATAATCCTCCTGTGCAAATCCAAGATAAACACAGTGTAGAAAGTCATACACATGCTCCCACATATTTGTCAGAAAACATATCCCCAAATCGATGTTTGAGTTGCTTACTTATCTCAGAATTAACATACAGTTGGAAACACAACCTGAATTTTGTTAAACACAAAATAAAATCATTATTATGATAAGTTTAGTTTTTGTCCTTTGAAAAAGCCTTGCCACTTACCACAAATTTAGGTTGACATTTTAGTAAAATGGCATATTCCTGCTAACAATTAACCTCAGATAACTGGTTTTCCTATTAATTCATCTTATGGAATATGAAACTACAAATAATAATGAAGTTCTAGAAGAAAACTTATTCACCTAAAAAGATCTTCATGAAGTCTTGTGAATTTTATAGTATATGCAGTATTATCCAATTTTTATTTATTTATTCATTTTGAGGAAGATTAGCCCTGAGCTAACTACTGCCAATCCTCCTCTTTTTGCTGAGGATGACTTGCCCTGAGCTAACATCTGTGCCCATCTTCCTCTACTTTATACGTGGGACACCTACCACAGCATGGCTTTTGCCAAGCTGTGCCATGTCCGCACCCGAGATCCGAACCGGCGAACCCCGGGCCCGCTGAGAAGCCGAACGTGTGAACTTAACCCCTGCGCCACCAGGCCAGCCCTATCCAATTTTTAAAAATATGTATTTTGCATATGTGAACATATGAAAAGTTATTATTTATGGGTAGTGAGGATATAAACGCCTTTTCTTTTCCTTTTTCTGCTTATCACTCATTTCCTACAATGTGCATATATCATACATGTAATAAAAAAACTACAAAAACTTATTTACAGAAAGAAAAATAAATAGATGCTCTGATACTTGTCTCAATTCACGATCCTTTGTTATCTTTTTATGACAGTGTATCTTGAAGTTTATGACAAATACATGCAAAATAGCTAGCTAAAAAAGGTTTTAACCTAAAGCATTCAGACAAAAAAAGATTCCAGTTAAGGGTTGAGTATTTTTCCCATAGTTAATCGTAGTTCTTTATTTTGATTATGAAGACAAGTAAATTTTTAACACAACATAACATAACATAACATAATGAATAGGTTGATATTTAATAATAATCATTGTAATAATATCACAACACATAGCTGCTGTTATTAACTACAAACTATGTGCCAGGGACTATATATGTATGCAATGTATACGTATAATTTCATTTACCTTTCCTATAACTAGAGGTGGCAGAGCTGGGATTTATTTCTAAGTTTCTTTGCCTCAGAAGCTATGTGCCTAATCAGATCCCACAGCTATGGTAATATCATCCTCTGAGAGCTTTGGTGTTTGTGGTTTTAAAAAGTGGACCTCCATTTTAAGCAGCCCAATTAAGTGCAAGCAAAAAGAACAAGTCTCACCAATCCCAACTATTCCAACTTTCCCCAAAAAAGAACTCAGTGATGACACGGAGGACTCTCTGGACAATCATTTTTCCCTTGATGGGTGAAATGGCATATCCTACATAGGTGTCCCTTTCCAATAGGAGTACTGTAGCAGAAAATGTCAGTGCTCTACCCAGATCCCTTCTGCTTCCTTAGCCATCCCAGATCCTGATGTACTTTCACCCTCAACAGTCAGCAGCTGCATCTCTTTGTTGGCACTATCCCCAACTGCTGTAGCTAACTTCCTTCACAAAGAAAAAGCTGAAAGCAGCTAGGAATTTACATACCTCCAGGGACAGATCTTAACCAATGATTGACTTGGAGCTGGAGCATAAATCCTCCAGCTCCCCTGCCCCTGCTAGAGGGACTCTAGGTGGGACCTGCACTCTTTCCAGAGCCCCCCTACTGGACTGAGGCAAATTTCATCCTCTGTGGAACTTTGCTTGATAGCATACTCTGCTTGGCTACTCTCTCTTCCCTGTCCTCCTTCTCCATTCTCCTGTGGTTCTTCTTAAGAACTCTTCTAATAAATCACTTCCAAAAAAATTATCCTTTCAAGGTTTGCTTCTTGGAAAACCAATTTATTAGAATCCCCAATATGCTCTAATCATGTTCTACTTTAACTGCAACACCGATTGTAAGGAACCCTTAAAGACTTCTCAGTCTGGTGGCTGTTAGACAGACATAGAAATAGTATTCTGTGGAACTGAACATCAATGGCATATAAGACCAAAAACTGAGCAGTAGAATCATTGTGAAAACCCGTGGCAGTAGAACATGTTTTGAGAACTTAGTGCTTGCTCTAAAGGATCAAAATTACACCCGAATAATAGTACAAGGCAAGAAATGTAAGAAACATAAGGCTGAACAGGGACAGATAAGTTTCTCACTTAAAAATAAGCATCTTGTAGAAATTCTTTCTTATCTCAGTTGTGTCTGGAGTGATAAATCTTCTCCCATAAGCCATTCAATTACGGAGAAGGCTGTAAGATTTAGTGTGCTGGCTTCTAACTTAAGAACTGTCAATTATGAAGAAGGATATAAGAATTAGAGTCCTGGATTCTCGATCTGCAGTGGACAAGAGTTGGTTTTTTTGGTCTGCATTTTGATTTTCCCTAGAAAACCCAATGCTTCCTATTTTTACTCCATCTAATTTGAATTGGGAGGACTACACCTTTGGCTTCAGGAGAGAGGACAAAATTCAGGTCTTGCCATTAGAAGCTGTGCACCATGGCTACCATGATTGGTCAACTATGCGAACCAAGCAGAGACAACTAGACTCAATTCTGGGACAGCTTTTGGAAGAGCTATTAAAGAAAGGATCATCTTTTTTCACAGGGGTTTGCTCAGATAGTGGGATACAAACTTCAAACTTCTAGGCAACAATTTCCCACCAAACAGAGAAAGTATCTTTGAAAGCCAAAGCTAACACAAACGAAAGAAACTTGGAATTCTTCACATGCCTAGATCACGTCATGCCTGATGCCAAAAAAAATCTCTCTTTGAACATTCCTGCTCATCAATACAATCTCTTTGGCTTAAGCTTGTTTGAGTCATTTTCCTGTTTATTCCAACCAAAAAAGACTTGACAAATAGATTCTGAATGCCTGCATTCAAATGTTGGCTAGGTTACTTCCTATCTGTGTGATTGAGTTATATGATATGGTGGATCCTTCTTGATACTATATTTTAGAATTCTCAGAGTAACTAAGCTATCAAAAAGAATCACTCAAACATTTTAAAAATTAAAAAAAATTTAAAAGTTTTATCAAGTGCATTTGTGGCTACATTTCAAATTAGCAAAATTTCTAATGGGAGAAAAATTAAGCAATTTTATAAGACTTCACAATAACTAATTAAATGCTAGGTTTTTTTCAGATTTGTTATGTCACTGCTGAATATGATTGCCATGATCCTCTTGATTATCGCTGGTAATGTGAGATATAGAGCCAGAGAGAATAAATGTGAAACACAGATTACATAAAAATACATATGCATTTTAGTGAAAAGTTCCCATTTTGTCGTGGAACTTCTTATGAAGACACTAAATGAACTGCTTTAGATTTCACACCTTTTCTCTTTTTTGAAGCCATCTCAAATGGACAGTGGGTGGAAAGAACTGGAATCAACAAAAGATGAAATTATTTGAGTAGTGAGTGTTAGTTTTTAAATGCAAGTTAATTTTTCCAAGATATACCATTCTGTGTAAATAATAATAATTACTATTTTAATTATAATAATAAAGCTATCATAATAGAATACT